AAGCTCCAGGAGATGGAGGGGAGAGGAGGAAGCTTGTCTATGCTGTTAACCTCTGAACCTCTGCCTAGAGCAGAGCCTGGCACATGACTGGTTGTTCACAGATTGGCTGAAAGAATGAATGAATGAATGAATGAATGAATGAATGAATGAATGAAAACCTTAGCAGAGGCCTCTCTACTGAAGGTGATCCAGGCTTAGACCCACACGTAATGCAACTCTAAAATATAAGTGTGCGCATGTTTTGGAAACATTTGAAGAGGAGACACTGTCCTTCCAGTTTCATTTTTAGAATCAGTTGAACAGGGCTCTCTCTGATTTTCACTTACAATAAATAACTCAGAACTCTCAGTACTACGCAAAGTGTAAAACTCAGGTCCATCGACTTCACTGCACAAGGAGATCTATCATTCTGTGCTCTTGTGGGTCTGTGTCACCTGCTACCAGTCAGGCCAGTGGATGGGCCACTGATAGTGGTCAATAAATGCCGTCCCGAGACAAGTGACAGCAGCGAGCAAGGACCAGGTCCCAGCCCTCCTGAGGCTTGCATTCTGGCATGGAGAGGCATACAGTGAACACAGAAACAAACAATTTTAGATGGTGGTAAGTTCCATAAAGAAAAGAAACATCAGACAAGTAAATAATTACAATAAAAGGAGTGTTCAGATTGGGAAGGACAGGGCACTGTGGAGAAAACAGCAGTGGAGGCGGCGTATGCCGGCTGAGCTGAGAGGGACCCATCCTGCACCCCCTTCTGTGCTGTGCATTCATCCGTTCCAAGGGCTGCAGCAGCCATTGCAGTCTACACAAGCAGTGCCTCCTGCACGCTTTTGTGGGCCTACCTGCCTGTCGTCACTACTGGACCACTGGGAAGTTTTATGAGCACTTCATGTCACCTTTCCTTGGCTGCTAAGTCTTTCCTCCCTCCCCCAATTGGACCATCTCTGTGAGCGGTATCAATAGTCCAAGTCAGAAAATTGGACATCGCCCCTCCCTGCCCGTCACTGGCCACATCCAGTCAACGCCAAAGCTGGTGGATGCAGCCTCCTCAGCTTCTCGACCTCAGTCATCGCTCCCTGCCCCCACTGCCATGTCTGTATTTCAAGCCATCAAGATCTCTCTCTTAGAGCTGGCCGAGTGTCTCAGTGGGTTAAGAGCGCAAACTCTGAGCAAGAGGGTCGCAGGTTCAATTCCCACATGGGCCAGTGAGCTGCCTAACAGGTGGCAGGATGGCTCAAGCTCCTAACAACAAGGTTGCTTGTTCGACTCCCACATGGGATGGTGGCTGCGCCCACCCGCAACTAAGATTAAACACAGCACCTTGAGCTGTGCGGCCGCCGCTGCCAATGGGCGGCCGGATGGTGACTGGACTTGGAGCTGAGCTGGCTGCGCTCTCCACAGCTAGGATTGAAGGACAACAACTTGGCTGGTCCCCTTCCCCAATTCCTCAACACTGTTCCCCTCCCCCAATTCCCCAATTAAAAAAAAAATTTCTCTCTCTCCCAGTGACCCCCACCTCTACTAACCAACCCTCATCCTGTGATCACACTATGACCGCTGGTATCTCCATAACACAAACCTAGCCCGATATGCTCAAAACCCTTCCAGGATCAATTTCTTAGCATGACCCTCCTGATCTGACTCCTGCCTACTTCCCAAAGAAATCACCTATTACTCTTTCCTCGCCTTCCATGTGCAGCCGCCCCAAGGTCCAGCCCCGGTACATCCCACACGCTCTGCTCGCTGTCCTGGCCTCTGTCTGTGACACCTCTACCCCCTTGCCTGGCTTAGTCATCCCTTCCTGGAGGATGCCTGCCTTGACACCAGCCTCCTGGGCAGTTTCGTGGCCCCCATGTTGGTCCCCAGAGCGCACACACTTGCCCTACCACAGGCCTGTGCTATATTTGTATCAGATTTCGAGCTCCTGGAGAATGAGAACTAGATTGTTCATTATTTTCTCCAAGGGCAGAAGAGCCACTCTGAACCCCCGTTGTCCTTCTCTCTAAAAGAGGGGACAACAGTAATAGTTACGTTAGTTGTATTGTGTGGATTAAATGGGATAATGCGTGAAAACATCTATCGCAGTGAAGCCACTCGTCAATACATAGAGGGTAAATGGTATCTATTACTATTACAACCGCATTACTATTAAATCTAAACAAGCATTTTATTGAAGTTTGAAATAGAAAAATGCATAAAATCATAGTGTACACAACTCAATAAATTTTCACAAGTGAACACACCCTTCTCACCAGCCCCTAGATAGCACTATTTTAAAGCTCAAATGTTACCTTCTCAGAGAGGCCCTCTGTGGTCCCATCCCCTGCGTAGCACTCATCACCAGACAGCCGATATAATCTAATTATATATTTTGTATATTATCTATCTCCCCTCCAAAGTAAGCTCCAGGAGGGCAGGAAAAGTTTTTTAGTCTATTTTGTCTCCTGCCATATCCTCGGCTCCTAGAATAGTGCTGGGCATATAGTAGGTGCACAATAAAAAGTTGCAAAGGAATAAATGAATAAATGCTTATTTTCATTTCTTTAAGCTCTGGGGTGCTGAGGCATTAGGTGCTCTCCCAGGTTAGATAACACAGTGCAGGGACCCCTGTGCCAGCCTAGCCTGCGCTCTGAGCTGCGCAGGGCAGGCACCCGACCCTGCATGGCCCACTTTCTCTTCACGTCTCCTGCGCGAGCTAGGCCCACCGCACCTCCATGTCGCATGTATAATAATTAAAATAAGAACAGTAATAGTCATAGTAATAGTCCCCTTGGCCCTCTGGAGACCACCCGGGCCCCCAGCATCCCTCAAGGACTCTTCCAGGGAACTGACGCACTCAGATTGGAGGCAGCTCTCCAGAGTCTCAGGACCAGCTCCCTGCTGCCACCGAAAAGCAACTGGTCAAGCTCCGGGCCCCCGGTCATCCACCTCGGGATAGGCCTCTGCAACCGGCAAAGGAGGCTTTGATCATTCGTCCCATTTCGCCTAAGGAGAAATTGAGGCTGCAAGCGGTTCTGACTCCAAATCCACCATGCACATCACGACGACAGCGATGATCACCACCGTCGCCTTCGATTGCTGAAGGTTTTCATCAACCTCTTTCCTTTCACTAAGCATCGCAGCCGGAAAGAAGGTGCCTGGCTCTGGGCGTAGGGCTGTGAACACGGTTCCTGCCGAAAGCGGCGGCCAGAATAAGCCCCCTCACAGAGGGGTCAGGCGCAGCCACTCCGAGGAGGCGACACTTAGCTGAGACCAGCGTGGTGGGAAGGAGCCAGCCACGCGGGGACGGGGACGTGTTGGGAGGGGTATATGGTAAAGAGAGGTGCAAGGAGAGGAAACGGCAACTGCTCAGCTCCTTTTACATCCACGGCCTCGTTTCATCTTCCCCCAAACTTTGAGAGCGGACATCTTTGCCCCGTTTTACAGACAAGGAAGATTAAGGCTAGAAAGATTAAGGAATGTACGGAGTAGGGATTCGAACCCAGGGCTCTGAAATATGCCAGGCCTGCGCTCCGTCCAGCGCCCCGTTCCCCGCCGCCGCCTTCCTCCCGCGCCGTGACCTTAACGCGACACGTGCTGGCCCCTCGCCCCCCCACACACACACTGTCCCACTTAGCCTTGCTCGGGGAGGGCCCACGGGGGTTGGCTTTCCGAGGGACCGCGGGAAGCCGTGCCCAGCTTGGGGTCCGGGTTAGAGACCCCCCTCGCCCGGCGTTGGGGACCCCGCCGCCCGCCCCGCCCCTTCCGCGGCCGGGCCGGCGCTGCCTCTGTCCATGGTCAAAGCACCCGGGTAATCCGCCTTTCTCTTCCGCCCGCCGAGCCCCATTCATATTCTAATCACAGCGCGGCCGGCCCGCGAACGGCCACTTTATCGGGGCCCTCGGAGACGAAGCCTGCCCCCCCACTTCCACTTCCAGCCCCCCAGCTCCTCGTCCCCCTCTTTCTGTACTTTAAACTCAGCTGAGGAGGGGGTCCCTGGGAAAAGCGCGTCCCCACTTGGACGCCCGGGGCTTCTCACAAACTTGGAGGCTGGCGGG